TGAAACTTTGCTGCATTCAGCTGTGTTTTCCAGCTAGTTTCGTGACTTTCGGGGACAGGCATCTGAATAATTAGGAAAGAAAACACCATTTTTTCGCTGCATTGCCATATTTTCATTGAGATTCGCGCTCAGAGTCAAGCGATTTTGTGGCCCAGATTGTCAGGCGCTGCTTCACCATTTGCAGGATTCAGCGGGTGCTCGGCTGGGCTCAGGCTCGAGCCTGCTTATCAGTAGCTGGCACTCTCTTGAGGGGACCCTGTGATGGCAACAGCGAGGGGTGTTGACTGTCAATCGGGCGAGATAGGCGGTAGTCAGCCGGGGTCAGTGCTGAAGCCTCTGCTGGGGCCGAGCGGAGAGGCTCCTCGTCAGTGACCCGCAGGGTCTGAGGCTCGGGGATTGACAGAGGACTTCAGTTTTCACTGCTGCTAACCATTAACCTTCGCAGGCAAAGCATTCCCACAAAAAAATTCATCCAAGGCGAGTATGACAGGAAATATTCAAAGCATGAAATGAATGCTTATAGCATGACAAAGCAGTGCTTGAAAGACATGAAACGTTCATTACGCTTGGAGTGGCTGAATGCTGCAAAGGAAAGGAGGGATAGAAATGTGGCTAGGGTATATGTTTTTATTTCAACATATGTGTGTACAGGAAAGAGGCAATGAACCTTTCCAGTGGATAAGGTGCATAAATACAGCTGCAATTATTCTAAGTCGTTTCAAAATATATTTATACTCCGTTGCTCTGTTCCATTCCTTTCCGCGTATATTTATCCACGAGATAACAGCGAGGGCCACGGAGAGGGCAGCGTGGAAGCGGGCTGGCCAGGAGCCCCTCCTGGGGAGCTCCGGTGCCTTTCCCCTCCCGGCTCTGCAGGGCCGAGGAGATTTGTGCCAGCAGCAGCTCCGCGCCCGGCACCCCGTGCTACGGCTACACACGGTCCCACCGCCGAGCGCTGCCCCCGGGCTGGCTTCAGCCTGTCCTCCTGGGGCGGCCAGAGCTGCGAGCAAGCTCCAGTTTTCACTACAGCCAGCTTTTTCATCCGTCTTCTGGAGAGACTTGCTGTTTAATTAGCAGCTGAGAGCGGCGTTGGGTCGGGGTAATTGCTACCGCCTGAGCGGACCGCAGGCTGAAGGGTGCTTTTGAATTCCACGCTTGCCCACCAAGAAGCCGGGCACTTAGGGGAAGAAGTTTATTTGTGGTGTGGGCCTCGCTTTAATTTTCTGTCCAGTAGAGAGGGGAGTTTATTAGTGGGAAGAGACAGAGCGTGCGATGCCAAGGCCTAACTAGCAAAACAAAACCCCAAACCTATCTATTTGTCTTTCGATGTAAGAATTTCCTAATGCCTGTAATGTAAGACAAAGGGAAAATTTTACTTGCAGGAAAATTGCCTTCCACAATAACCAAGAAAAAAAACATAAAACGCCCACACCAGAGCAGCATGATCCAAAATGTGAACTTTTTACGCCTCCCCAACCTTCTAGGTTAGGCTTCCAACCAAGTGATCTTTTATTATCAACATGATATACCCTTGACATAATTTGGCGCAGTAAAGCTTCTTCGGCTGAACTCGTGATTTCATTTACTAGATCTGATGAAAGTTCTGTGAACCACGGTAAAATGTGATAATTAGTAGTTTAATTCTTTTAGGGTGTGCGTATTAATTGAAAAGGCTTGAACTATAAATACAGGGCCTGTGGATAAAAGCACACTCTGAAATCAGTCGCTTATCCGAAGTATTCATTACTTGACATCTATTTAGGTAGCGTCTCTTTGCAGCAGTGCCAGTCGGCTGCTGGAGCGAGCGGGAGCCTTGCGATCAGGGATCACAGCCCCAAATCCACCGCTCGCGGCTGCTCTCCCGACATCGGAAGGGCTCTCTGGCCAAAATTTTACCCTCTGTGGTCAAACCACTGGATGTTAAAAGCGTGTGCTTGGAGCTGTTAGCGAGTTAGCACGGGGCTGGCTCCTTCTCCTTGAAATTTGCAGAAGGGGCCAAGCGTGGTGTCGGGCATCCAGCCCGCTGCGTCCTCGCCCAAGGGTGGGTGTCTTGCTGGGGCTCGGCAAGGGCCCGGGCCAGCCTGGCACTCGGTGACAAACTGTGCCTTCCTTCCTTCCTACACACTTACCTTCATCATAGCCGGGACCATCAGCACCTCCCGGAGGCCCCTGCTGCTGCAGGCACAGCTGAGTTCATGCAGCCGTGAATGTCAGCGTGGCACGGGGCCGCCGCCGAGAGCTGCGATAAGTGATCGTGCTTTCTCGCTCCGGTGTTCTTTGTTCTGACTTCCTGACCAAAGCAGGAGGCATTCTATTGACTCGAGGCCTTTCCAAATACATATATTCGCTCTGAAAATGCACGTCATTATTTCACACCTTCCTCTGGTTTCTGCGTGCGGTGCAATGCCTGGATGAATCATACCTGTTTTTAAGGTAGTGTGATTTTCCCTCGTAAAGATCCCGACATTTGTGCTCATATATGGTTTGTGCACTCACAAAGAAATCTGAATGCATACACTAACGATTCACGGGTTATTCAGGTGGTTTCCAAGTAGCCTTAATTCTGTTAATCTTAAGTTGTCTACCCAAGCAAAGACATCCAGGTGAAGAGCAACAAACAGCTACAAAAGTGAGGCTGTAAACTGTGTTGCTGCAAGCTGGATCATTGTTTTTGTCACGGGGGGGCACTTCTGTGTGACTCCTTTGTAGCTAATCAGATACCACTTTTTAATTGCAGATGCTACTTTTTAATTGCAGTATTTGCTAGATAGGAAGTGGAGAGAAAGTTTAGGGTGACCCTGACAGAGCTGCGAGAATAAAATCCCCTCCGAAGCCTGGCGGTAGTGCAACTGAAATGGAAAAATACCAGCTCCGTTTCTTGGAAAGTGAGAAGGAGACTTTTATTTGCAATGGTTCACAAATATTTTCCCAGGAGCAACGTAGTGAGTATGGCAAAAGGGGGGGCAGGAGGAAGGTGAGGTGAGCGAGCCACACTTGTAACCATACTCCTTTAATTCTGCTATTGTGATCTGCACACAAAGGGCACTGCAAGTTGTTTACAGCACTTCGTGTTATTCATTTCTGCTTTTTTTTTTTTTTTTCCTTTCCGTCAGTGCCGTATCTTCAGTTATACAACTTTTTTTTTCTGAGTTGTGATAGTGTCCGGATAGGTTTTGGTGAAGGGGTGCTAGGAAGGTGCCAGCTGATTAAATGTGCTGCTTATTATGTGCATTTCATGTCTGCTCTTACATTTTTTCGTTAACCACTGTTGCAACTGAAGAAAATGCTGAAGTTTGACAGTTGGGAGTTACTGCCGAGTATGTGCTGTAAACTATATCATCCCTCTGCCTTCTCCCCTTCTCCCCCTCCTGCTGAAACCAAATGATTTATAAAATGCCTTCACATTCTTGAGTGAGTTCACACTATCACCTCCAGGCACTGCAATGAGGAGTCTTAGGAGTGGATGGGAAGCACAGATCTGATAGCTGGTATTTTTCTCTGAAAAGGAAAAAAAAAAAAAAAGCTGATTAAATTTAAAGGAGAAAAGTTTCCTGCTGTGCCCCGGAGTAAATCTGTAGTCAGCAAAGCACTTTTTAGTAAACAAGAGATGTACGTGGTTATAGTGTTTTTTTATTATTGCACACTGCCATTGTTTTCCATTTTCATAAGATTCAATTAATGTAATCATTTTAGAGTGTCTCTCATCATTACCTCCCATCCTCCCTCACTCGCACTTGAAGCAAGGGGATCTTCTGCAAGACACGCGCTGGGATGAGGAGCTGGCACCTCGCTCCTGGCACTGGCAAAAGGAGGCAATAGAAAAAGACAGGGCAGCTAGAGAGCATCCGAATTTTTTTCTTGGCCTTTGGTCTCTGGCCTTTGTAGACCAGGAGGCTGGCACCCTGCTGGGTCACCCTTGGGCCCTGCTCACCATGCCCTTGGCCCCAACCCGCTGCCGCACTGGGTGACAAAGGGTGCTGGTGGCACAGCATCTTGCTAGGTGACCCAGGATATGGGGATATGGAGATACGGGGATATGGGGATATGAGGATATGGGGATATGGGCTGGCAGTTTGCTGCCAGCCATAACCAGGCACAGGGGTGGCGACACCATCCTTCAGGCTGCAGAAGGCCAAGCCCTGTGCTGGCATTTCTTCTAAGATCAAAAGGGAGGAACGCTTCTTCTGTAGCTTTAACATTCTTTTACAGAGAGCCTCGTCCTCTGCCCCTGTTAGTTTCCTACTCCTGTTCCTTACTCTTAAAGCTGTGTCTGTAACAGAAGGCTCTTGGACAGCTGCATCCCCATCTGAAAGCCTGCTGGAGTTTGGGGGTGTCCCCACCTGACCAGCTCTGCAGCGCAGACCACCTGCAATTTTCCCACATGTTATACCTCAAAGCCCTCAAAAAGCAGGGGATTTGCTCTTCGGAAATTTCCAATAGCAGAATGCAGAGAGCTAGTCCTGTCCCCGCGCCGTGCAGAGGGGAGCCAATTTTCCTGTACGGCAGAGCATGCCGTGCTTCGAGCCGCAGGAGGAAGGCGAGAGGGAAGAAGCCAGAGAGGACGGGCAGCGTGACGGGCTGGGGTTTTGAGGCAGGAAGGGAACCCTATAGATTTTGTTGAGGGAAAACTTACAGCAGCGAGCATGGTAGTGGTCCACAACTCAATTTAAAACAATTCCAAAACTAGGAATTAAAGGGGCTGGAGGGGATATGAAGCAGCAGAAGGAGGCAGCCCAGTATTAGTGGATGCAGCTCTGCGTCTGTCAGGGCCATGAATGATGCATTTGCAGCAGGACGGGGAGCCGTCCACTGTTAGAAGGAGACAGAAGTAAAGATCATCCCGTGTACAATATAAATGTAAGTTGTTATTACTACTATTGCTATGTCAGCCGTAAACTGTTCCCACGAGAACAGAGATGCAACATCATTGAGAAAGAATGTCTTACTGTGAAATGGGCAGCAGAAACACTGTGGCATTATCTGCTGGGTAATGAATTTACCTTGGTGACAGATCATTATTCCCTCCTGCAAATGAACCAGATGAAGGACAGGAACACAAGGATAACTCAGCAATACTTGCATTTCACAGCCTTCTGAAGTAAAAACATAAAAAACAAACAAACAAACAAAATCAACAAAACAAACAAACAAAAAATAACAGATTTAAATGTAAGGATACAGAAGCACGGCAGGTCAGGAGACCCATGGCAGGAGGTTGGAAATAGATGATCTTTAAGGTCCCTTCCAACCCAAGCCATTCTATGCTCTATGATTGCCTGTGGCAAGATATGAGGAGGAAAGCAATTTTTTTTTAGGCCTATGCTAACATTATACATGAACTTCAAAGGCTTGGATTTCACCCCACCTAATGTTAAGCACTAAAATGAGGCAGCAGCTATGAATCTAAAATCCTAACTCTCCCTCTATAATCAGTGGAGATACCAGGTCTTCTGGGAATTCATCTCTTTTCTGAGTTGAACCTCTGGGAGATTTGGAACAGAGATGTTTCAGGTTAATGCTGTAATTTCTCCGGACCTGAGATTCTGCTGCTAGGGGAAGTCATCCTCCCCTCTCCCACTCATCCTGATAAGCCGGGAGGAGACAAAGAAAGACTTGGGCTGCAAGAGCAAAGGAGGGTCTAACAGGGCATGCTGATTTGGTTGAATGATTTCAGCAGGGTAGAAGAGTGGACAGTGTAAATACCACCCACTTGTATTTTCTTCTTTCTGTTTTTCCCTTCACGTCTACAGAATGGGAGTTGCTTAGATAAATTATCTTTTAGAGCAGTGTTTATGTGCTCTGTGGAAGAATGTGTCTAGGGATGGGCATACTGGCAGGAAGAACTTCCTCCTCAACTCTTCCAGTGAAGTTTTGTTCTAAACGGCCCAAATGCAACCATTATTCAAAAGTAAAAATGTTCTGTTCCATTTCTTGTTTTCATTCTTTCGTGTGTCTGGGGACTAAACTGCTGTGAAAAAGAGCCCATTCTCACAGGATGTCTTGCCTAATTTTGCAGACGAGAGAGGTTCAGCTTTTCCAATTACGATGAGATAAGAATCTGAAATGTTGGGATCACATCCATCCTGAATTGAACTCTGAGTCTTCCAAAATCCATCCATCATTATTTTTCCCTTTATTTCTGTATTTCAGTAATGCAGGCAAAGAAAGAACGGAGAAGAAATGGATGTTTATGCATTATAAATCATAATTGATGGGTTTCCTTTTTACCTGAGCTGCTTTAGTTTAATGTAAAGGTCCCTGTGAGTGGAATTCCTTTTCCATTTTCATTCTTTCTGCCTGCTTGACTGCCACTCATCAGCAAAAGATCTGTCTTTCACGTAAAGTCAGTCGTGGTACAAAGTTTACACATGGAGTACTGTTAAAACACACCTGATGGCTGTCACAGGGAGGATGATCCAGGCTGGTAAGCTTGGTCCAAATCTGAAGTTGTAGCCCCTGCACTGCCTTCAGATTGTCCAAAATACATCCTGATGGGACATTGGACATAGGGACTCCACCCCACTGCCACGTTTCTGCATTCCTGAACATCACACCATGCCACAGGAGACTGCTGAGATGGAGTAAGAGGGTCTAGAGAGGCAAGCTTTTTACTGCAGAAAGAGGACAGTGTAGGCTCAGCTGAGCAACGTGACCTCTAGCAGCAGATTCACCTCAGCTCCTCACCTCTGTACCTACCAGGAGTGTGTCAGAGTTGCTGGAGGCAGCCTCCTGGGGCAAGATGTCCCATCACTGTCATGTCAGCTCCTTCAGGCATCTTCCCTGGAGCCTCTGTATCTGCCACACATGGGATGAGCACATGAAATCAGATACGGACTGAGAAGGTCCTTCTCCACCCTTTCTGTTTACTGTCTTAGTCTTAAATCCCTCAAAATACACTCAGTTAGTGAACTCAGGGGCCCTCTTTGGGCTACAGCCTGAGCAGTTTACACAGAGAGACAGAGAAAATAGATTTGGTCCATGTTCTGGCCTGACCTTGGCCTGAACCTGAGAAAGTGAATGCCCCCATCACACCAACATGTGTCTGTAGAAGTACAGTAAACACAAATGGGGGTCACTGGCCCTCTCTGTCGTACAGTCCCAGGCCAGGAGTCTAGAGTTTTGGGCTGTCCGCCCAAGTACTTGTTAATAAATGTCCATTCTTAGCCTGTGAAGGAATGTAGACAGGGCATCCTGCCCTACAAAACACAAACTTAGAATAAAATAGAAAGAGTCTCAGTCATCACGCAGAGACTCCTCATCCACCAGTCTCTTCCCACTGGACTTCAGCAGCTAGCCTGGGACTTGGCTGGGAGTTATCCACTGCTGCTCTGGGGTTTCTCCCCTGCTGTCTCTAAGTGTAGTTGCCTGCCTAAAACCAAGTCTAGGGCTTCATTTTGGAGCCTTGTTGTGATACCGAGGTGAGACTGCCCAGGCATGAGGGGAGAAGTTCGTGAGGTTCCCCCCACCTTCAGCAGGGATCTCTCAGGGCGGCCCTGACAGAATTTAGCGGCCTGGTGATGTGCACGGTCAAGGACACAAAGACTGTACAGGGACTAGGCAACATCTTAGGCTTCCTCGACTTGACTGTATTTGAGAAGAAGACAGTCAGCCTGCCTCAGGCTAAAAGCTATCGCCGTTAGGAGATGGTTGTTCTGTGTAAGGAACGGAGGAGTAACAGCCTTCTGCAGAGAAAGCTCCGAGCGATATAAGGGAAGGAACAATAAGTCAATACGATTTGCATAGGTTTTATTGTGAATGAAAGTTTGCTCACTGGTGTTGTCAGCAGATAAGGTGCAAGAAGCAGTTCCGAGGGAGAGGAAAGCCCATGCGGAAAGGTGGAGCTGGCTGATCCTGGGACTTAGCTTCCATGCCCCGAGTCCCGATTTTCGAGTGCATTTATGCTATCTAATCTCCAGCAGATATTTCTACAGCTCCCATTATCGTGGTGTCCAGCCGCAGTCTATTCAAAGAGTGTTGGTGTGAAGAGAGAGGGGTGCCAGGAAGGCAGAACGAGAGGAAACAGCTGATGGAGTCACCGGGGTTTGTGCCTGCATCGCCCAGCAGACGGGCAGGAAAGCTGCCGCCCTCGCCTGACCCGGCCCCGCCGGCTCCTGCTGGACGCTGGGCTTTTCTAGAGAATTCTGCCACGTCCTGTGAATATGTGGATTATTCCTTTAACTAGAAACTGGAATGTAAATCTTAAAAAAAAAAAATCACAGGGGTTCGGACTCTGTCGGCGCAGCTCCAAGCCGTGTTAGTCTGCGGAGTGGCCTTGGAGGATACAGTTAGCTTCCCCCAGCCGAGGGAGGGGTTTTATGGCTCCTAAAATAATTACAGCATCACTGAGTCGAGTTGTATAATTTCTTGGCAATATACTAATTAAAACTAGGTATTTACACACACCGCTTATTTAAACTTAAGACATATTTAAAAGAACCTGCATACTTACACCACCTATATATCACGGCGTTACTGAGGACCACATTTTTCATGCAGATTGAATTCTCAACGTTGTTATTAACATAAATGAGCCCACGGTTTTATGCTCAGGACTGAATACTTCCAGTGCATCTGAATCATCCTGGTATTTCATTTCACCATCTAATATTGTTTTTAAAATTCTACATTTTTTTTCCTCACCGTATTATGGCAATTAGAAATGGCTCTGTGTTTACTAGGAACAGAGAGTCCAGCCGAGCTGAGTGTTTATGTGATGAATAGTGCTAAAAGAAAAGTCAGATGCATGTCGGCACTTATCAAAGCTGTTCTGCTGCTCAGAATGACTGTTCGTGATACTTGTTTCATGATAAACTTCCTCAGAACATGATGTTACTGGAAAAAAAAATCCACTCTGAGAAATACGCAGGTGACACAGTTGAGTCAGCAGCTTGCAACAGTGACACAGGCTTACGTTTATAAAAATCCCCACTGAACTTTTGTCTTCTGCATGAGTATATCGCTGCCTTAAAAACTGTCCCCGCAGAAGCGTCCCGTTTCTTGTGTTCACTTGGTAGCTGCTTAACAAAAATCTTCCCACCGCCCTGATGAAGAGATAGATTCCTGGGCTTAAAAGTCCTGATAGTCACAAAACTTTCCTCTCGCACATGTAAATCACCATAGAAATGTTGTTATGTTCGGTGACCACTGATACCGCCGGGGAAAATGATAAACATGGAAAAATAGCAGGCCACTATGGAAACCAGAAAATCCTACCTCCCGGACGAGGGGGTTTAATTATTGAAGTTGCAAGCGTTTCCCCATGCACAAGCATCTCAGCATTCATAGGTGGAAAGTACCTCATGCTGTGTTTGAAATATCAACTGGATTTAAAAGAAGGCTTTGTGCTTTGCTGTGGACCTTTCTTAGCCTCCTGCAGATGGTCCCTATTGCTGAAAAGAGACATGACTTGTGAGACACGGAGACCTCCATGCTGTTTGTCGTGCTGCTCTAATCCTGCTTTCCACCCATAAAGGGCTTCACTCCTTAAGCCCTTACCCTCTTTCTCCTAAATATTAAAATTATTTTCCTGAGTGTCATACCGTATTAAAGCAGAATGAAAATGGGTTTAACAATTGCTGGCATGGGGCTTCTGTACAGCATGTGTGTCACAAATCATGTCACTTTTCAGCAATAGGGCTGCTGCCAGCGGGAGGCTCAGAAATGCTCATGTTAATCAAAAATTTTAATTTCAAATCAAATTGACAGTTTACACATGGTGAGAAATGCTTCTCACCATGTGATATTTCAGTATGCTACACTGGGCAAAATGGGTGCACTTTCCTGTTAAGAATTTTGACTGCAGTATCTGCAAATTTATGGGTTTCAGTGTATTGGGTATGGTGAGTGGTTGATCTAAGGGAGCCCCTTGGAGAATAGGAGACAGAAGGGTTTTCATGCAACCTGGCACTGGTGAGCCGCTGTTGGCACATGCTGCTGGAGAAATGACAGGTATTCAATAAACATCAGTATGGTTAAGAGGAAGATTTAAAGGAGGGAGGGGCTGCAGTGCTATAAACAGGATTTGAAACAAATGTGCTTATTTCAGTCCGTGATTAGTCTGAATACCTAAGTATTCCACACCAGTTTCTAAATATCTTTACATTTATTTTCACACTGATGTTCTACACACAACATCAACAATAATATTTATGGCATTAACACTCTAGGCTAAATTCTAGCTTGAACTGGTGTAAAACCAAGTAGGCTCTGCATGTCGAGGCACACTCCATCAGTGTGAAGACCAGAGCATGGGTTGGGCTTATGGCGTGTATGCATTTGCAGTGTTGTCTTCTGCAAGCAGCTGTCTTGGAAGTCCATGGGTAAAATCTGGAGGCAAAATTTCGGTTGATCCATGAGTAGGAGTGAGAGGAGTAAGGACAGTTGACAGAGCGTGCGCAGACTGCCTCATACAAACTATCCATAGAAACCAGCATTTTCAGGCTGTACCAGAAATATGATGCTGACATCAAAATATGACCAGCCGAGGAGAAATTATCATTGCATTATTCTCTGTAGGAGGATTTTCAGGTCTCTGGGGGGTCCTGAGGTTAATGGGATGCCTATCTATCTCATGACATTGGACCTTTTGTCTGAAAAAGGCCTTACAGGGGAAGAGGAACGGGGAGGGCAATAACCACCTCCTTGCACCTCACCTGCCGGGGCTGCACGTGCCATCAGCATCCTCGGGAAGCTGGGGGGCACCGGGTGCTGTCCGTGGGCTCCTTTGAACATGGAGCCGTGCTTCAAGCTGCGAAGCCGAACTGGCAATATTGCTGCAGACCTTGGAGATCACAGCTGTCATTGCTCTTGTTACCAGGGTTGATATGAAAATATGAAGATAAATAACTCCTTCATATTATTATTTTCAGGGAGGCAGGCTTTTCCTTTTATTACTCTTTTTATTGTTGGATGCCATAAATATTCCATAATGATTATCCCAGTATAGATTTCATCTTTCTTACTTTGAAAGGCTTTTGAGGAGCACATTATTTATAAGCTGCCAAATGAGTATGACCATTTATAATGATTTTTCTTCTTTTCTTTAGTATTTGCTTTTTGGATTGAAGACCTGAAACAGAAATATGCTAATTTAAGACATCTGTTGTTTTTCAAACTATAGGCCCCTATCAGTATTAATGTAGTTAATTTATTTATCTTATTGTGTATATGGTAGCGAGGGAGATTCTTGGTTTTTATCGTTATATCAAAAAATTGCATTTAACTGGTTTCTCACCCACATCAGTATTGAAAAGTACCCTACAATGCTAGGAGTCATCAGAAATGAAAAACCACACCAGATATTGTAGATCTTGGAACGTTTTCTGTTGAGCAAGGTCCTTAAACATGAACTTGAAGGGCTTTCAGTGTTTCAAGAAGACCTTTGTCTTCAAGGGAAAGGAGCTATCCTTGTGTCCTCTGCTTGGACAAAACCTGACATGATTGATTCTGATCTCTGATCGGTTCATTAAGAGTAATAAGCTGCCATTAATTCCACTGTCTCTGCACTTAGATATAAAATGAGCTGTGTCTCCTAAGAGCTGAAGCTGCTGTGGATCTGTGCAGGTTGTGCTGGTGACACAGCCAGTCTGGTACCACATTTCCCCTGGTCCATGCTTATTAACTCGCAACCCAGACTCTGGAGCTCCATATGACATGAATTGAAATAATAACGAGGCATTGCTTTTATTAGGGACTCTAAATTACTGAAAGTCTACGTGCACTGAGATGCTACCCGTGTATTTATTTTCTGATTCACCTGTGGATAACGCCTGTCATCGCAGGGCAGGTGGGCTCCCCAGTGAAGGCATCTCCCAGCACCCAGGTCTTGGTCCCAGGTGGCCCCAAAGTCTATACAAGCTGTAGGAACGGAGCTGAGCTGGAGCACAAGCACCAGAGGTGCGCCCACAAGAGCTAGAAGTGGCTCACAGTTTTCCTGTCTGCTATCTACAGACCTTTTAGCTTTAAAAAGGCAAATAATTTAGCAGTGGTTTTGCATATTGTGAAGGGTTAACAAAACTTTCATTATCACACTCTATTAAGCCAGGACCAGGAAACAATTTCTAATCAACACTCTGATCTGGGCAGGGATTGTGCAGTCTTTTGTAGGAGGCCTC